TTCCAATGTTCTCACTGCCCTAATGAATATTTAAACTTTAGGTAAGTTAGTTACAGCAAAGTAGTAAAACGTATATTGAGAATATGCCAAAAAATAAATAAATAGTAATAATAAAAATAGAGAGCACTACTTTATACTTTTTAAATGTATTTTATTTTAACTTTAGGTTAAAGCTGCGACTAGGTGAAGGCTGCTCCGTCTGGTGGATGATGTGAGGAACAACACTTATGAAGACATAAAAACAAAACTTAGACCAAAATTCATAAGTTAAAATTATATATTGATATATTACATAAGTTAATATATAATTATATAAGAATGTGCTAAGTTGTGGCATAATTTCCAGAGAGAAAGACTTGTGTGCGGCAGGACTGTGATCATCTGTTCTTCTCATTAGAAACTGGTCTGCTTGGTCTCCTCATTTGCCTCCAAATCAGCTGCTTTGTTGTCATAAAATGCAGGCACTTCCTCCTTTTCTTCCAGCTTATCTCTGCAAGGGGAGATAATAGACAGTTTAATAGACAGATGAACAGTTTAATATTAATAAAACTCATACTAACTCAGAAATGGGATGGGGTGGTAAATCGATAAGTTTAAGTTGAATCATTTATTAATTGATCATGCATTCAAAGTAGAAAGCACTTTAAAACTGGCAAAAGTATCTTGTACACACTACTGTTCAAAAGTTTGGGGTTGACAAGATTATTTTTTTCAGGGGGGAGTCTCTTATGCTCACCAAGGTTGCATTTATTTAATCAGAAATTCTGTAAAAATAGTAATATTGTAAACATTTTATTGTAATTTAAAATAACCGTTTTCTATTTTAATATATTTTAAAATGTAATTTATTCCTGTGTTGACAAATAGATTGACTATTTTCAAGATTATTATGATGAATAGAAAGTTCAAAAGCATTTATTTGAAATAGAAATCTTTTGTAACATTATACATTAATATTATTAGTATCATTAGTATTACTTTCTTAGAAATCTTACTGACCCAAACATTTGAACAGTAGTGTGTATATATTGTATACAATAAAAATATATTGTCAAAATATATGCGTTACATTAATGTTTAAACGTGATATGTATTTGTTCATTATGTCTTTAGGTGTGTCTTGGCTGATCTTGAATGTCAGGTGTCTGAACGTGGCCTTGACAGTATCTCGAAGTCATAAAATGTCAGTAATTGTTTCAAGAACCATAAACTCCTCATCACCATCAAGACTAATCAAACGATCTTTAACTAGAAGTATTACTGCTGTTTCGAACCTCTAAAATGTGTATCAAGCATTTCAAGCATTAAATAAAATTCACTGTACTGTAAAAGTTATGTAAAAAAGAAGAATCAGGTATTTTATGATCTATGTAGATTTTATTATCATGATGTAAAGTACAGCATATATTGTCCTGAAACATTTCAGGTCAGTACTCACTTGTCTTTCTTGAAAAAGAGTCTTTGCATGATGAGGAGGACGAAGACAATGAAGAGAAAAACAACAACGGCTGTCAGTCCCACCAGCCACGGCTGTAATGTGACTTTAGCTGTATCTGATGATGCCCGTTGACCACCTTGAGTAAAACATTGTATCACATAAAGGTTATAAAACTTTTATATATTAAATCAACTCAAGGAGGTCAAATTTAGTAAGCAAAAGCAGAAGAAAAACTAGTACATTGAAATGTACAATACTGAAATGTACAATAATGGTGCTGCTGGGGGAGAAAGGAAAGCAAAAATGACAAATCACTCACCAGCTTGAGCCTGACAAATAGAGGCAGAGATTATTATGAAGGCAACGATATTCTGTAGATGAAACATGATGAATTTCCAGTCTGCATGCACTGCTGCGTTCCTCTCAGTTGTCTGTAAATATGTGAAGGATTCTTGGTGTCCAAAGCAGGGGCGGACTGGGACAAAACTTCAGCCCTGGCACTGTAGCCACACCGGCCCACATTACCACACCGACACAGCCCCACCCACGGACACACACATTCACTACTTACATTTGTGTACAGATGGTGAAATAATATAAGCAGTACCATAACAGATATTTAAACATTTAATGTATGTGTCTGGCAAACAATGCTTAATACTTTTTAAAGAGCACACGTTTATAACAAATTTACACATACAGTAAAAACAAAAGAAAAAGAATCTGAGGATGTTGTAGAGTCTTGTGTGCTGTCTGTTTATGCCATTTGTCTGCTGTTACTGTCATTCTCTACAGTATGTTGTTCTTTGTTGTCCCTGTCTGTCTGTTGGGTTTTTCCTACCTCTACCACACTCCTCCCCTGTCTCTGCTTGGCCTACTGTAGCATCCTTCCTCACAGCACTGGTACTGGAAAACCAGGGGTCTCTGGCTGTACTGATTCCAGCAACATCCTAGTTAATGAACACAATATATGACTTAAACATTACAGGAAAATATTTTCTCACTGACTGCTCTCAACATTGGAATACACATGA